GCGTGCACACTCACCCCTGGCTGATGCTTCCCAAGTCCTCCCTGAGCTCTGATGTACCTGTGGGTTGTCCCCTGCTCCATCCCCTCGGACAGACGGTGCTCTGGAGGGGAAGCGAGTTATCCCCTAGGCTCGTCTCCCCGGGCAGGAGGACAGCAGGCCACAAAGCCCCTGCTCCTGGTGGCACCCTGGCCACGGGGCTCCTGCCCTCAGCACCCAAAGAGCCGCCTGGATGTGTGGGAGCGGCGGGAGAAGGAGAGGGAATCGATGGCAGTCCCTGCAGTCAGACGAGGGAAAGGGAAAGGGGGTGAGAGCGCAGGGTGGTGGCATGGAGGGGTAGGAGTTCTTCCAGCTCTGCTCCCTCTTCCTTGGAGAGACCATGACCCTCAAGCTTTGTGCTACTGGGGAAGTGACAGGTGTATCAAGGCAAGGAGACGATGGGGAGGAGGGGAAAAGCTGGGGGAAGAGGGTGCCCCATTTCTCTGCACAGAGACCTCTGTTACAACCTCCGCCTCAGGAGCAGCCTCCGGGCTGAGGCTCCCTGCCATGTGCCCATTCCTCCTCTGGTACTGGCCAGCCTGGCGGGACATCTTCCTCGGCAGAAGTCCCGGGGAGGAGGAGGAAGGACGGTGGAGCGAGGCCAGCGGTGGCCCTGCCTGCCGAGACAGGTAGGAGGCAGCGGCAGGACACGGAAGGCAAGGTGGGGAGAGGTGGAGGAGCGGCTCTCCGAGAGGGGTAGGATGGGCTCTTTTCCTTCTCCTCAGTCTGCCCTGGGAAGGGTCTCTAGCTGATTTTTTGGATCAGCTTCTCATCGGACAGGCAGTAGAGGCTGTTGATGGACAGGTCCGAGATGAAGTGCTCACAGGCTTTGCGGGTGATCTGTTTGCAACCTCGCAGGTCGATTAGGGTGACGTTGGAGATGCGGCGCAGGTACAGCAAGGCCTGGTCCGTCAGCTTATTGCAGCCTGTGGGGAGAAGAAGAGGGAGGTGTAACACTTCCAGAAGCCAGCACTGAGTCGGGCTGAGAGAAGGGAGATGCTTTAGGAGGGCAAGTGCAGGAGCACAGCTGGGCCAGAGGGATGAGCACGCACCTGCCATGTTGAGCTCGGTGAGGGAGTTGCGTGTGGAGGAGCCCACGGCGGTGAGGAGGTTGGCCGACTGGTCTGTGAGGTGGTTGCAGTGGCTGAGGTCGAGGCGGGAGAGCAGGGGCATATGGCGGATGATCAGGCGCAGCGTGGCGTCGGTGATGTCCAGCCCGGCGAGCCGGAAATCGATCATGTTGCGGAGTTTGCTGCGATTGTCCTGACCTGCAAAGGCACAGAAGAAGCTGAGCGTGGACAATCTGCACCAATGCATTGGGGCATTCCACATCCAGCATCACCTCCTTGCTCTGTGCACTGCATGCCACCCTCCTCCAGCTCCCCACAACCCACAGCGACCCTCCTGAGTCACGACCAGCCCCCGGGCAGCAGCTTACTGGGTTTGTCTGTTGGAGGTGTGAGTAAATCCCGGATCTGAGGGTCCTTGATTCCTACTGCCCACCGAAGATCGAGGGTCCTGAGAAGGGGGCAGCTGGAGGTACTGAGAGCACAGACCGCAGACCAGGAACAGCCTGCTAAGATGAGGTCTTTCAGGCCTAGGAGATGGGAGAGAGATTAACAAGTCAGACAGGTTTGGGCAGCTCTAAGGCATCCCAGAGATCTCAACCATCTTTTTCCAGGCACATGAGGGAGCAGCTCCCCTCCCTGCCTGGGGTGGGATGCCTGCTGGTTGATGGGATACAGGCACACAGGAGTGTCTGAGCTGGCAGGTAGCAGGGTGCAGAGAGTCTCTTGCTGTGCTCCAGCCCTCAGGAAGCCTTGGGGCAGGCTGGTGGCAGAGGCCTCTCCCCAGCACACACTCACCTGGCAGCCTGTTGACGAGCCACGTAAGCTGTTTTTTGGAGATATTGGTCCAGCTGAGGTCGAGGCTGACCGGCTGTCTTTTGATGATGCCGCTCAGCGCCTGGGGTGTGATGGATTTGCACCTGCTCAAGTCTATCTTTGTCCACAATCTCTTGTCACAGCACCTGGGGACAAGGACAAGGCTGAAAGTTGAGCCCTGAGAGCCCCATTGGAATGAGATGACCAGTGGGTTGTCTGGCTTCAGGGGAGAGGCTCAGCCCCGGCATGGCCCCAGCCACAGAACAAGGTTCTCCTGGTTTCCATGGGTTTCCCCAAACATGGGAGAATGCCAAGGGTGTCTCCAGCCACCCAGTGACACCCAAAGCAGCCCCAGCAGGGTTTTGCTGCCACAAAACCAGACACAGCTGCTGGCCTGCTCGCCCCCTCCAGGTGCTCCTCCTGCCAGGGCAAAGATCTTAAGGATCCTTGTTCCCTGCAGGCAAAACACTGCCTAGTCCCACCCCACAGCTCCGACAGCTGTCACTGCTTTGCCATGAGGTGCAGCAGAGTCTGGAGGTGGCACCAGCTCCTCCTCTCCCATGGGAGCCTGTGGAGACCCTGTACCCCTGAAGGTGCAGGCAGGGGGATGCTCTCCTCCAACCATCACATGACATCATTCCCACCAGCCTGCTGATCAAGGCAGGCTGGTCCTGTGCCATCGTGCCATCCCTGCTGCTCGGCGGTTAGAAACCTCCCAGTTTCCATTCCTGCCTGTTCCCAAGCCCTCCATGCACAGCTGTCCCAGTGCCAGCATTGTCTTTGGGCCTGCTGCTCCCGGAGGCATTTCCAGCCAGCAAACCCATCCTGCCACAGCCTGCCTTCCCTGCTTGCTGGGAAGCAAGGCAACGCAGGAGGCTGGGAAGGGCAAGGACCATCGGGGTGGTGGGTGAGGAACAGGCATCAGCACCTCACAAGAACACAGCAGGGGATGTGAGCGCTCAGGTCTCCCAGCAGGCGGGACAGGAGGAAGGCAGAAGGGAACAACAGAGACCAGTGCACACACGGCAGAGGCACCAGCCAGGGCTGGCCACAGGGTCCAACGAAAATGCTGCCTGTGTCCCAGGAGTGGAGAGGAAGGGCACCAAGACGAGATCCCTTCCCTCCAGCTGCTCATCAGGTACAAGGCTCGGCATGGCCATGGGGTCAGAACACGTATGTGTGTGTGCCCACCCCACGTGTCCACACTCACCACTTGTACCAGGTCTTGCACACCCGCATGCACTCGCAGAGCTCCCTGCGGGTGAGGTAGCGGAAGACAGACATCCAGACCTCGCGCTGCATGCAGCTCTCGTCGCCGTCCTGCGCCCGGCCCCCTCGGCCGTTCAGCCGCGCCGCACCCCCCTCCTCCGCGTTCTCATCCT